CAGTGTCGGGACCACTGCACACACAAAGACACACACGGGCCACCCACATCGTGAGTGGCAGAATGCCTCAAAAGGCAAAACACAAACTGACCAAGACCGTGGAACTTTGTGTGTGTGTGTGTGTATTTGTTTGCCAGATAGCCTGTATGGTGTGGCAGCAGGCATATGTCACTCTGCTCAGCTCTGCTGTAACAATCAGCAACACAACTAAGCCACAATAAGCTAATTTTTAGAAACACGCATGTCCAGTCTGTCACAAATACAAGTGTGTCGGCACTGAACAAAAACAAGCTGCTTGTTTGTACCTGAGGCTGATGTAATGCTCTCAAACACCAACTGAGGTGTAATTGACATGAAAACTATAATGATACTGACATTGCAGGGTGTAAAGTCTAGTTCTGAATGTCTGCATTTAGGCTTGTTGTTGTGAACCTTGTGTCGCCAAAGAATATTCATGAACACGTACAGATCGGCTTCAGATGCAATGGGACAACAGTTTCTTTGGAAACAAAGAGGACAAGACTTGTCATTGTATACTCTAAAAGTCCTTACTTCACATTAGCTTGATGTCTGGTCATTATCAGCCAGTTCTGTGATTCTGTCAATGTTGTGATTTCTCAGTCAAAATCTTAAACTCTGTAGCCATCAGCTCACTCTGAAGAAGAGCAATTTAAACCTGTCCTTCTCAAGAAGATGGTCAACAACACAGCAATCCTAGTGCTGTAAACTGAGCACAATCATAAGGGATTATTTCTGCATTAGAAAGTGGAGGGTGGAAATCATAATTAAACAATGCTACCTCATGGTTTGACCTTCTGAAGGACTTGCTTCCTCCCTTACATGACCAATCAGTAAGTCTTTCACAATAATCAAATCGATCATTTGGTCACAATGTTAACCTCTAGAGTCCCTGCGTCCTCATTTAATTGACTGTTGATCTGAGGACCGCACCCCACTTTCTGCCGGATGCCTCGCTTTGCTATTTTGTGTTTGGTGAGGATTTGCTGCTTTTCTCTGTTTTACATCAGCGTAAATTGAAAGTCTATTTGAACATGTCACCTCAGGCTCTGGAAAATAATTAACAAAAGGATTAATCAAGAAAGAAATCTGTGCATTAATTAATCATGACAGTAATTGTTAATTGTAGCTCTAAAGACAATCTATGCTAACTGAACAGTGGACTAAACTGGCTCAGAACAACAAGACTCCAGCTGTGCCTGACTGATCTGCTGCACCACCTGAACTGTCTGAGGCCCAAATAAGATTTGGCATGATATGGTTTGGCCCAGACATCCATCTAGGAAGTTAGTGAGTCAACCAGCGGTTTAGGATGTGGTGGTGTAAATGTGTCTGGTGTCGCCTGGTCCATTTCCTGTGATTAAACCATGGAGAATGGCTGCAGGATACACCTTCCTTGTCCCCATTAACTATTTCTACTTCTCCTCCTGACTCACACATTCCACACCAAGGCCTCATCTTTTCTACAGAGACACGATGAGAGAAAACACAGCTACAGAGGGAGACAGTCATCGGGTTTCTAGTAGGGAAGAGCATTTCAAGCTAAAACACAAATCCTTCTTCAGGTGACAAAGCTAGCCATTGACTGTTGATCTGAGGACCGCACCCCACTTTCTGCCGGATGCCTCGCCTTTAAATGGCTGTGCATAGTTGTAGCTGATTTATGAAATGCTAACGTAACCTGGCAGAGCTTCCACTGCACCTCATTTTCATTAATTTTATCCAAGAATCTCGACACAGAACGTCTTGATGGCTGTAGTCTCTGCTGTTTGTGTTTGGCGCTGTAGTAAAATGATATACTGACCTTGTTGTCGCGTTATTTCCGGGCACCGGTAAAGGCAATGGAAAACAGTGGCTTTTGGTTTTTAAAGACAAAACAATAGCTGCATGAAATATTCACTTTTTTTATTTAATGACTGTTCAAAAATCATTTCCCATCCGTAGTTTCTAGTTCATCCCGCCTCCTCTTTCAGACTGTCACTGCTGTGCTATCCTCCCCTCTCACCAGAGACAAGAGACACCCATTTTCACTCCGTCTCTCGCTTCGTCTCCTCTTGACCAGCTCTCCTGTGTGTCAGGAAATTCCTCATCCAGCCAAGGTCACGGCTGGTGAAGACACAGCTCAGCTCAGCTGGTTCTCAATTTCCCTCACTGCTGCTTTTTCAGGCATTTATGTCCTCTCTCTTTTCAAGAGACGTGCAGGCCGGGATGAGCCAGCAGGGAAGAACTCCATGCATCAAGTCTTGAGGGAACAAGCGGTTCAAGGAAGATGATGAAAAACGGAGCTATTTCTGTACCAGGTTAACAGCTCCTCTGGGAATCTCAAGTCGCAACATGTTTGCAGCACAATCAACCATCCCCTACAAACACTTTCAGGGTTTGCTTTTTCACTCCATTTTTACCCCTCAACACCTGATATTGTTCGGGTAATGACAGGGCCATAAAATCTAGAAACTTAAGATGCTCAGTAAAACTTCTTAAAGGTGCATTCACAAAGATTTTACACTATGTCTGACTGTAAATATCAACCAAAGGACTCAGATTGATCCAGATGTGGGATTCTTCCTTCTGGATGTGTTAGCATCTAAAGCTTGCATGTTCATTTTGGTAACATTAACGTGGTCAAGAGTTTACCTTTGTATTGAAAGAATATTTTAATTTGGCAGTAATTTAAGCTTTGTGTTCACTTGGGAAAAAACTGCATGCATTTGTATTATATGCGCAACAACACGCTTTTGCTGAGCAGCAGTGTCACTATCAGTCTCGTCTACATGTATTATGTTGAGTGCACGTTATATGTGTGTTTCTGTACATGCTGCACACTCAGTGAGAGAGGATTAGCTGTGCTTTTGCTGCTTCCTCAGGAGGTAAGCAAGACTGCCTCTCAAATTTTAGCTGTTTCATGTCCTTAACTTGTTATTCTTCTCTTAATTCTGTTGTTTGCTTCTCATTCCTTCACTTCTCTGCCCTCTTTCCAGCTCTCTTCCTCCCTCTCTTGTGAGTAAACCAAGCCACCTGCTGCTATGCGCTGGTGCTCGAGCCAGTTGGTGTTCAATCCAACTACCTGGCACTAAAACCGGAGCAGCACGTTTTGTTTCTGTGAACTAATAAACCTTATCCTGCTCAGTCACTGATTCTTAGAAGGTTTCAAAACAAAACCACCACCACAGGTTGCATTGTTCTGACAATATCCCTGAATGTTTTAATCTCAAAAATCACAACAACACCATGGCTGGGTATCATCTGTGCAGGTACCAGTTTGATCGCAGCCCCAAAACATTACTACAAATGTCTGAACACAAACAGTTGTACAATAAGGACTCATAAATAATACAGTATAAAATAAACGGCACCTTATTAAAAATAAACAAACTTGAAAGTGCTTGATACATCTATCATACTTCTCCTTCAGCTAACGCAAGATTATCCACAAGAAAAGACGGAGACAGAAAGACAACAACCTGCTCTCTACTGGCTGAAACATGCCTATATGAACACAACCCAATCTCTGAAATGTGAGCCAGCGTCAGACCTGCCGGATCTTTTTCTGTGTCCCTGCCACAGACACACAGGCCTTTCTTGCAGGCCAAACAAGCCCTCTCTCTGACAGACTAAACAGAGGGCTGGCTATTCGGGCAGCATTGCACTCCCATTGGTTCATGGCACATTCTTCACCCAATTAGAATTCCACCCATACCTGTGGGGGCAGGGCACATGCAGGGGCAATAAACTCTGTCTGCATTCACACTGAAATAATGAGTGACTGGTTTAAACACACATGCACAAAAACACACCCTCCACTGTCTCAAAACATCCACACCTACTTTGTGCTTTTGTGTGAAACACAACCCTCTGATAAGACCAACTTATTAGACTGACTACATTAGTCATGCACACATTAATATCCTGATAGATTACAGATGTATTATTGTATTTACAATGCCTTCTTAATATGGGTTCAACAAATGATGATTTTCTTTGTTAATTGTTTGCTTAATAAAATGCAATGAAATAATAAAAAGTGTCAAACATTTCTCAGAGCCTGTGGTGATGTCTTCAAATGTCTTGCTGTTAAAATCCCAAAGATCTTCATCTTATCATCATAAAAGAGTAAGAATACAAAAAAATAGAGACATTAGAAGCAGCAACTGTATATATATTGCTTTTTTTAAACATCGGAATAATCATTTATCACAACCGCGGGAATCATTTTGTTTCATCTCTATTTTTGTTGAAGTGTTGTAACCTTTGACCTCTGTTTTTTATGCCTTTTTTTTACTTCAGTCCCTCAAGACGGTAAATGCTCTGGGAGAGTTGCTCATCTTTTTACAGAGCTTGACCTTGGTGTTTTGATCGGTACAGCAATTTGAGCCACTGTCTGATCGTTGCCAACACACACACACACACACACACACAAAACAGCACATAGGCCTACTGTCAGTACAACACACTGATTTAAATTATAAGCCATGTGCTATGTTGTACCATTGTTTTATGCATGCCATGTTTTCATAGAAGGGACAGAACAGGGCGTGTGACTGACATTTTCTAACAACTTGAACACTTTTACTCATAAAAAAGAAAACCACCACAATCAAACGTTGCGTGTGCCCTCCTGCAAAAGTCTATACAAAATATATACATGCACATTTCAGACAGTCGTGAAGCTAATGTTTAGCTAATGTGTTTAGTACAGAATCAGAAGAAGGACAAGGCGCCTGGCGAGTGGCGCAGAGCGCTCATTTCCATTTGAACAGAGGCTCCAGGACGCCCAGGGCTGGGTCACATCACCGACAGTAAAAACCATTGTTCCAGCTGTGCGTGCGTGTGGACAGGGCTGGCCAAACAACCAACAAAATATCTGAGAACAGTGTACCCAAAATCAGCAAACGTGTCGAGCCTCGCTGAGATAACTTCAACGACTCATACATTCTATCTAAGCTGACACAGCAGCGACATTCCGATCGATACTCATGGATAATCTAGACTAACATACCAAATCTACCGAAAGATCGATTTTCAGACATGCTGCTGTTCGAGAATTGCTTTACTCTTTGGTACAAAGCTCAGAGAGTCCGGGTCAAGCGATGGGTTCGACTGTTGGTCAGCCAAAAAATGGGTGTAGCTAGCAAACGTTAGCGGTCAACGTTAACTATACAATTTTACTACCAGCTAACACTAGCTGGCTAAAGGGTACGTGTTAGCAACTAATAAAGTTTCTGAACATGGGCTTCCAAGCGTTTCTGTTGCAGCTGGTTGTGTCACATGACAAACCCGCCGGACAGCAGACTGCTTCTTGACTGTCCTCTCGATCATTTGGTTAGCATCTCAGGTAACAAGCTAACGTTAGCAGTTGTGCTACTGTGTTGGCCACACAAAAAACCGGATGTTTGGGCAAACAGCAGACCCCAAAGCCTAAAAGACACCTTGGGGTGTCTTCTTAGGTTTACTAATTAACTCTTTACACTTGCGGTTTGTAGGTGAAACATTTTAGCGCCAGTCAAACGTGCACCGTAAGCGCTTTCTTTCGGTCTCGTTTTTACCTGTCAGTTGGATTTTGATGCTGGACCCGTTCCTCCGAGTCCCAGGATTCGACATCACTCCAGGAAAAACGATCACACAAACTTCCCGTTGGAGTCTCCCAAAACCACAGTTTCACCACTTAAAGGCGATGCGAATAACTTCAGTTTAAAATCATGCGGTTTGTTTTTGTTCTCTTCACGGGAAAAACTGTATTATTTCATCGCAAAGTCCTGCGCTCCTTCGAAATCCAACAACACTGGAGAACATTTTCGGGCAGGCTTAAGCACGCACCGACGTCATGCTCGCAACTATAACGTTACGTGCTCGCGTCTGGGAAGCGTGGGCGTGCCCGTTATGTTCAGATTTGTAATGAAGCACTCACACCTTCGCTTTTACTTTTATTTTAGATACTGAGAACGAAAACCCCTGGAAGTATATATGTTTTTAGGCACTAGCTGACAGTGCTTGTTTTATGGATTACAAACACAGACAATCATACTATATATTTATATCCTATCGCATAGAATGATGAACAGATGACCCAAGTCTAAAATGGGAAATCACTGCCCACAATAGAATGTCTTTCTTTTTTTATATGTCCATGTTTAACCACGCATTTGGCAAATTTCATCAACTTTGTCTTTTAGTTACCGTCACTATTTAAAGGTGATTTAACGGATTTTACACACTGTCCGATAAATCAAGTGAAAATGGGACAGGGCCTGGTGTCTCTCAGCTGTATCACCCCCCTCCATGGCCATGTGCTCCCTACATCTCTTCTGTTGTTATTCCATCTTCTCTACTCTGTGTTGTCAAAGTATGGTCTGTAAATTAGCCCTGCCTGCCACCGAGGGAGTTATAAGAAGGCATTGAGGAGCTCTTGAAACAATGGCTGCTGGACCAGAGGTGGCGTTTGTTTTCACAGACAGAGCTCTTCCTCTTGGAAGCTTTAGTATCTAAACATGTTTGTTTTGGGGGAGGCTGCATCTGGTACAATTTGTCACAACCAGGAATTGAGGAGTTTACACAGTAAGCCACAGTTTGAATTGCATTCTGATAAATTGGCAAGTTATTATTAATGAAGATGAAGATTTGAATGCATTCAGTGGCTTCACAGAAGTTAAAGTAAATATATCACTTTATTTTAAATTGGCAGAAATGTAAAGTATAGCATGCAATAGGCTGCAACACTCAATGGAAGGAGAGCTGGGTGAAGAGGGATTACAGTTGGAGGGATTTGGCTCTTTAACAGCACTGGGGTTAGTTGCATGGCTGTGGTATTAGCTGCAGGAACAATGGACCCTCTCAGCAGCCTGTTTATAGGACACAGTCAATCCACACAAGCAGCGAAAGGGCTCACTGGACGCCACACACTTCCAGATGCTAGGCTCACAGTACCTACACTTTGTGTCACAGATACAGACATAAAGCTGATTCTGATTCAGTTTTTGTTCTCGGCCTGTCTCTTATCTTAGTGTCTTCTTCTCATTTTGCACCTACAGCTGCACCACTGCATCTGTCTAATTCCCAGCTGTGTTTGTATGTATTTGTGTGTTTAACTATGTCAACACTCCACAGGTGGCTGTAACACCAGAGACACACATGCACAAATTAGTTTATCCATTCGAAATGGCCATGTACAGCTGTTACTATGATTATGTGATTATGTGTGTGTGCATGTCTATGTGGTGTGTGTGTGTAATTCAAAGAGCCCCTGAGATCAGCTGAGTGTGTTCACAACTAATTTCAATCATAGAGACAAACTTAGTTATACTGCTGGGAATATGCACACACACACACACACAGCTATCTTTGTGAGGACAGTCATTGGCATAATGCATTCCCTAGCCCCTTACCCAAATCTTAACCATCAGAACTTCATACCTAACCTTAACTCTAATACCTGACCCTAACCCCTAATACCTAACCTAAACTTCATTCTAACCTGAACCCTAAAAACAAGTCTTAACCCTCAAATGGCTGTTTCAGAAAGTGAGGACTGGCTAAAATGTCCTCACAACAATGGTTTTGAGCTACAACTCATCCAGACACGTCCACACACAGCTAATGAAGATGAAGCCATTTTATGCACAAAACAGTTGGGAAATCTCACTGGGTGGTGAAATGTGGGAATGTTTTCTGACAAACACATTTAAATAAAAGAGAAAAACAGAAAAGAGGGACAAAGAAGAAATTCTAGACATATATCATGAATATATGCACACACAGACTATGAGAGGGAGAAGAAGAGAAATTAAACTCCATCCACATGTTAAAAATGCACAGTTTGTCCTTAGAATTTGTGCAATGCCATTAAATGAAAATCATAAAAAATAAAAATAACACATCTTCTTATTATAGTCAAATCATTATCTGTCCTGATGCTGATTCAGTGTTTATTAGCGTTTCCTTTGGGGAACAGGAGCAACAGCTAGGGTGTTGTGCAACCTCTTAAGTGTTGAACTCAGGTACAACTTTACACTCGTACTAATATTTTGTGCTTTTTTAATATTGTACTTTGTGAAATTTTAGATTGAAATGTTTTAATTTTTGAATTGACAGATTTTCTTACTACTTAAAGTTTTACATTAAAAACATATGGTCATGTCATAAAATATATAGAGCATTGCCAAAAATTAAACAAGTGGTTAAACATTTTGACTTGCAACAACCTAAAAAACCATCCTGTGAGTTGATGGCACTTTCAGTAAACTGTCAGTTTCATTAAAAAAAAAACTTCTGGAATCCCAAAGAGGTAAAACTCCTCAGGATTTCACCAAAAAAGAGAAAAAACATTAAAAAAAAGTTTTGCAGAACTCCCCCCCCTGTTTTTATCCTCTCTCATGATTCATCTCCTGACCTCTGGGATTTATCATCTGACCTTTAGGAGGCTTGACCTTTATGTTGGGAACCACTGAAGTAACTACCTGTCTATAAATCACTTGAAACTAGCTAAAATAGCATTTTTTATAATATATCAGTCACATCGGATAAGTTCTTTTGGTTTTGATACTTTAAGTACATTTGCTACCAATACTTCAGAAATTTAATTAAGTAAAGTTTTTAATAAAGGAGTATTTTTACATTATTCAACAGAAATGCAATTTTGAAGGTGCTGTCATTCAAATCCTTTTGGGTTTCAAATGGGCTATAACTATGTTTACTAGAGCAACAGCATTAAGATTATTGGGAAAAATGAAAAATGGCCAACTGCATGTGTGTCAGGTTTTAATTTAAGATGCCTTACTCATCCAAATCCCACAGGATGCACAGAGGGAGAAAGTAACTGTTGAGGACAGAGGCGTGGTGGGATGAGAACTGAGGTATGGAAGGGTGGAGGAACAGAGAAGATAGCCCTGCTGATGGGGTGAGGAAAGGAGATGCTTTCAGCCTGAGTGATGGCTTTCCCAGGAAACCCTAAATGGGCAGAGGCAGACTGAAGAATTCCCAGATCTTGTGCTGCCAGGCAGATTGGAGGGATGAGACCTCAGGGTGAGGCTGGTTTTAGAGTTGTGACCATATCAGGAAGGAGATGGCCTGATATAAAACAGCACGGCCTCAACACACCCACCCATAGTCCTCCTGAGCGTACCTCTGCCTCCTGCACTGGTGAGTACCAGCCTGTTGTACTGTACTGTACTTATAACAACTTTATCTCTCCATTCCTCTGCCTCTCTATGCAGAAACTAGTAGGTGAGTGAACTGGTCAGTCACTTGGGTGGTGTGCATTGGTGGCACCAGCAGCTATGCCAGGTGTGTATAAAGGGGAGTGTGGGGACAATGTGGACCCCATGCCGTTCCTGGTTCCCTCGGAGAAGGAACGTCTGGATGCCGTGAATAAACCATATGACATCAAGCGCTCCTGCTGGGTCAAAGATGAGAAGGAGGCTTTCATTGCTGGGGAGATCCAGTCTGAGGATGGGGACAAAGTCACCATCAAGACCACCAAGAACACCGTAAGACTAACTGCACATTTTTTATATTTATGAAGTAAACGCGAGCTGTTGTCAAGATGTCATTAATCTCTTACTGATCAGAATAATCATGATGATTAAAATATTGTTTCTGACCAGACGGTAACAGTGAAGAAGGAAAACGTTCACCAGATGAACCCTCCTAAGTTCTACCAAGCCAGCGACATGGCAGACCTCACTTTCCTCAACGAGGCCAGTGTCTTGGAAAACCTGCGCAGCCGTTACATCAGCATGAGGATTTATGTAAGCACTCACCACTGAAGAAGCTACTCAAAACCAAGTCCCAGTTGAACCTCAACCATTTCTAGCTTAGTTTCTGTGAACTAAATGTTTTATTATGACAGTTACAACCAAAACCTGATTGGCAAAAGTTAATTAAAGGGACAATCCACAGATTTTACACACAAATATCAGTTTATTTACTACACAGCCTGCACAAACAGTTATGTGATGCTTTCTGTGTCTCTGGAGCATGGATGGATTTTGGCAAAGGGCTCCTTGGTTAGAGACATTTGAAAGATTTCTGGGATGTTTTTATAGGTGAAGACCAGAGGCCCCGTGACCCCTTGGGCCCTTGAGCCTGTGCCCCGTAGGCCCATTCAATAATCCATCCATGCTCTAGAGGAACTTATCAAATTGGAAAAATAACTCTGATGTCATTACAAACTGGGGGAGTGGGATTTGAAAGACATTTAACAGGCAGAGAGAATCTTATGAGATGCATTATGGAAAATGTAGGTTCTTCTGTTTTTGGTGCTTGAGCCATTGACTGAACAGAAAGTCATGCGGCATGTCTTGGCCTTTAAAGGGTCAGTTTCAACAATTCTTTCTGTAACCTCCCTTTTACAAGTTTCCCAGTTATATGAAAGTGAAATAAGTTGAATTCCCCTTTAAAGGCATTCAGGGGGAAGTAGAACATATGTAACTCAAGTAAAAGTACAAACAGTAGCTATGCAAGCTTAGAACATAAAATATCTCTTACAGATTCATACAGTATATTCAAATATCAATATTTTGGATGTTTCCCTTAATTTAACCAGATTGTTTGTTAGTTTTTTTTATTTATCTCCCAAATCACAAAAGAAAATAATTCCAAAAGGTAAGCAAATCAACAGCAAAAATAAAATCAAACAAACTTTAAACCAGACATAATACAGAATACTATACTGACTGAAAAGATGTAGGCTGCAGCTGTATTTTATTAGGCCTACCCTATTCTAACAATTCCTTTATCAACCTAAATATACTGTACATAACTCATAATTCTGTATTAATATATAAAATAGAGAGAAAAGGCAAAGTTGGAAAGAGGAGCA